GTGGGATCCTCCCGAAACGGGGCACGAACCCGCGCCTCCTGCATCGGCAGGCGGACCCTCAAGCACTGCGCCACCAGGGAAGCCCCTGCATAATATTTTTATGTGTATATGTACATAGATGTATGTATGTATCGCAGTTTTATATGATCAATTGCTTATACATGGACCTTTAGATTGTTTCCAGCCTTTCATGATTTTAAACAACATTGGAAAGAATATCCTGGTAGGTACATCTTTGTTTACATGTGTGAATGCACCTGTGTGATAATTGATCAGAGTAGAATTGCTGGGTCAGAGGGCATTTGAAATTTGATGTTGCCAAATGGCCTCTAAAAAGGCTTCAGGAAACAAGGGGTACCTGTTTACCCATACCTAATCAATACCAATAGTGAAAGTGTTTTATGAAACTACTTGATCATTGTTATCATGGTGGTAAAAGTGGCAACTCCTTATGATTTGCCTATTTTTCTATCAGGTTGTTGGTCTTTTTCTCATTGGCTTGTAAGGACTCTGTATATTTAGAAAATCTGTCTTTATCCAACTGATTTGAAATACCATTTTTATTATATACCAAATTCTGATCTATACTTGAGTCTGTTTCTGACCTTGTATTTTGTTCCATTGATCTGCTTATTGCTGCACTTGTATCAAACAATTTTAAATACTATAATATTATGTAAGTAATTTATGTTACTTATATCAAGTAATTTAATCAAGATCCCCTCATTAATGTTTTTTCTGGAATTTTCCTGCTATGTTCTTAACACTTATTTTTTGGTGTGAACTTTACTGGAAAGAGTCCTGTAGTTGTTTTTAATAACATTATCTCTACATTCATAGTTCAGAAGGAATTGACACCTTTAAATTTTTCTCAGTATGTTCCTCTCTAAGAGTATGTTCCATTTATTCAAGTCAATTTCTATGTCTTTTAGTGTTTTAAAGTTTTCTTTATATAGAATATATGCATTTCTTATGAAATTTATTCCTATTTTCTTTTATTCCCATTATAAATAAAATGTTTTTTTCCTTCAGTATGTTTTCTAATTGCTTACTTATATATAGGAAAGCTATTGATTTTTGTTGTTTTCAGTTGGCAACCTTATTAAACTCTAAACAATTCTGAAAAATTTTCTAGTTGTCTTAGATTTTCATCTCCAAATCATAATAATTTTGCAACTTTTCTAATTTTCTTTTCTTTCTCATTGGATGGTCATTGTATCAGAACCACGATAAGTAATAGTGGTATAGTACTTGTACTTTATTCTTGATTTCAATGTCAGTGCTTCTAGTATTGCACTGTGTGTGTGTGTGTGTGTGTGTGTGTGTGTGTGTGTGTGTGTGTGTATGTATTCATCTGTGCCTATGTAAAGAGTTTTTACCAGGAATAGATGTTGAGTTTTAGCTTAAAAAAATTTTTTTTTTATGGAATGACTGTAGTTTTACTCCTTTAAGCCATTAATATGGTGAGTTGAATTATTGGATCACATTATGCTAGATTTCTTAATTTTGAATCATCATTTTGGTTCACAAATGGATCTCACTTGGTTATGGTACGCTATGTTGCATGAATGTGTTGCTAGATTCTATTTGTCAGTATTTTTTTTAAGATTTTGGAATTAGTTGAATAAGTGATATTGGTTTGTAATTTTTTTCTATACTACCGTCTTCTGGTTTGGATGTTTATCATGTGATTCTCATTTTTAAAATGGAAACTTGCTTTCTCTTTATGTGCTCTAGAACAATGTAAATTAGATTGGAGTTACGGGCTTCTTGGTGTTCTGATATATGGTACCTGTGAAATCATTGGACCTTGATTTTTTAATTTAATTCAGTTATTCATTATTTCATTCATTTGTATATTTCGAGGGTGGACCAATTCTTGGACAGCTTTTCTTCATTTGGTAGGTTATGTCTGATTTTTATATACTCCTCAGGTCACTTTGGATGGTTTCATAATCTCCTATATAATCATTCATTTCATAGGATTTGAGATAAAATTGAGGAAAATATTTTTCCATTCTTTTTTCAGTTTTGTGTATCTGTGCTTTCTTTTTTCCTTGATCTGGTTAGTTTATATAACTTCTTTGTATTTGAATTTCTGCTTGCTTTCTGCTTTCCTTAGGTTTTTGTTGTTCATGCTGCTGCTGCTGTTATTCTTTAGTGAATTTCCTGAGTTGAAAGCTTAGTTTTTCATTCTTTCAAGAATTCAAGACTATGAATTATCCTCTTAGCATTGCTTTAGCCATATTCTACATATCGTACATAGATTCTGTTATGCAATATTTTTATTATTGTTATAGCTTGATATTCTGTGATTTCACTTTTTATTTTTTACTTAACATTTGTTTGAGAGGTTTTTTTTAAAAAAAAAACTATATAGGTGACAAGGTTTATTTTCTGTTTTTGTTCATTTCTAATACTATTTACTTCTTGAATTTTTTAATGTTTTCTTCATGGCCTAATATACAGTTGTTATTAGGACTCTCCTGGGCACTTGAAAAGAAGATGTATTCTCTGTTTTCAGGGCATAAAGCTCAATATACAGTCGTCCCTCAGTATCCGTAGGGGATTGGTTTCAGGACACCCCCGCCCCCACCACCCCGTGAATTCCAAATCTTATATAAAATGGCATAGTACAGTCAGTCCTCTGTATCTGTGGGTTCTGCATCCGTGCATAGAGGGCTGATAGTATTTGTTTGGTTCGTCTGTCTTGGGCTGAGAGGTGATTTGAAACTCCTTTACTTTATTATGTTTCTATTTACTTTTTCTTTAGTTCTTCTAGTTTCTTTGCCAATTTTGGTACTGTGTTATTTGGTAGATAAAATTCAAGTTAGATCTTCATTGTAGTTATATATTCATTATTCCTCCATTCAGTTATTTTACTTTGAAATTAACCTTGTGTAATATTGTTTGCATTTGCCTTGTGAGTTTCTGCATTACTTTTCTTTCCACCTTTCTAAATCACTTTGTTTTAGATGCATTTCCTATATATGGTCTATGGCTGGATTTTGCTATTTGATTTGTTATCAGTATCTTTCTTTAATAGGTGAATTTATCCCACTTTCTTGCACTAAAAATGATATATACTTTTGTGTCATTTTATTTTATGTCACGCTTTCTCTTTTAAATGCATCTTTTTAAAACTTTTCACTATAGTTCATGAATTTTTTGTATGTTTGTATTCTTTTGATAATTTTTAAGTTTATTGTTTTTAGTTCTAATGGGCACAATTGTAACTTTATAGTATATAAATATGTTTCTTGAGTTATCACTTTTAAATAACTATCAGTTGATTTCCACTATAAAAGATAAAAATTTATATACCGCTACTTCTTTCCTCCTTCCCCTCCACTACCTGTTTTGTTATTAGTCTTAGTTCTTCTAGGAGTTACCTCTTATACCTTTAAAAATATTTAAATATTATACCTCTTGTTACTTAGCAATATAAGATCATCTACTTAAACTACCTCCTGTTATATTGTCCTGCCACCTCCTTTTTTTAAAAAAAAGATTATACTCTTTCTACATTGTTACAGATTATAATATTTATATTCTATCCTATAACCGCATTTTCTAGTTGTTCATCCTTAGTTCTACATTTAAATAGGATTCTCGCTTCTTTATTCAACTACTGGAGTTTGTCTTTGAGCATTATTTTCAAGAAGAGTTCTTGGAAACTATATTCCCTAAGTCGTGGCATTTTGGAAAATATTTTTCTGTTGCTCTTATGTTTGAATGACAGTTAACTAGATAAAAATTTTTTGTTTAATACTTTTTCCCTTATGGATTTGTACACAGACCTGACATTGAATATTGTTCCAGAGAAGGCTGAGGGGAGCCTAATTTAAAATTTTTCCCCCTTAAAAGACTTGATTGGGAGGAAGAGGTGTTGTCTGGATGAACATAGGATGCTTTGTCAAGGTATATCTTGTTGATTGTTCTATATTAACTTCTCAGTCTTAGTATGCCCTTAGCACTTACAGATTCACACCTTCCCTTATTTCAGAAAGTTTTCTTCTACTATGTATTTGGCTTCTGTTTTTGTTGTTCTGTTTCATTTGCCTGGTTTTTTCTCCCAGAGACATATTTTATGTTGGTTCCCTTTTTCTTCCATGTCTGCCATTTTCTCTGTAATTATTTTCAACTTTGTTCTTTTCTCTTGGCTTGATTTTTCTCAAGCTTTTCCTCCCTTTCCCATACGTCATTGTTTCAAATGTTTTTTTGGCATTGTTCTAGGCAATGACAGTAAAGCAGAGAAAAAAATAGACAGAAATCTCTGACCTCATGAAACCTATTCAAATGAGAGAATTAAACAGTAAACAAAGTAAAATGTAGAAGGTCAGATAGTAATGGGTCACAGAGAAAGGTAAGGGAGGGAGAAATAAGGCCATAAGGAGATGTGACATGAATTGCATTTTTAAACGGTGATCAGAAAAGACCTTATTGCAAAAGTGATATTTGAGCAGAGACCTGGAGAAATTAGGAGAACAAGCTGTGCTGATATTGGGGGGAAGGCATTCTAGGTAGCAGGAATATACGTGCAAGTGCCTTGAGATGGGAGTATGCATAGTATTTTCGAGAAGTGCAAGAAGGTCAGTGTGGCTGCAACAGAGTAAGCAAATAATGGTAGGAGATTAAAGCTGGGAGGTAAGGGGCCACATGACAGGTGTTTGTAGGCCATTATAAGTAAGGCCTTTGGCTTTTATTTTAAGTGAAGGAACAACTTCAGATTGCCTGCTGCTGTGTTGAATATAGTATACTGTGTAAATACTGTAGGGGTTTGTTGGGGTTTGGGTAGAAGCAGGTGCTCGAGTTAAGAGGCTGTTGCAGTGATGGAGTCAGGAGAGTGCTGGTTTGAATCAAAGTGGTTGCAGGGGGAGAGGTGAGAAGAGATCAGATGCTGGATTTATTTGACAGTAGAGCTGACGGAATTTGCTGATGGATTGGATGTGAAGAGAGATTGGGATGAATTTAAGCCTTGTAGCCTGAACACTGGAAGAGGAACTGCTACTTGCTTGTATGGGAGAAACTGCATGAAATTTGAAGGGAGTAAAATGAAGAGTCGGTTTTGGTCATGTCAAGGTTGAGAGAGCTATTAGATAGTGGGCAGGTATACATATAAGCCTGGATTTCATGAGAAAGAACTGTATTTCTAGGGGTTATCAATATATAGATGCTATTGAAAGCTTTGAAACTGGATGAGATCACTAGAGAAGTGAGTGTGGATAGAGAAGGATTTCAAAAACAGAACCTTAATGTGTTCCCAGCATGTAGAGATTGTGGAGATGGGGAATCAGCAGAGGAGGCTGAGAAGAGTGGCCAGTGAGTGAGGAAGAAAATCAGGATGGTCTGGTGTTTGGGAAGTCAAGTGAAGCAGGTGTTAGAAGAGTGGGGAATGACCCTCTGTTTCAAAGGCTGATAACAGGTTAAATAAGTTAAGGGCTGAGAATTGACATTAGGTTAGGAACATGATGTCATTGGTGCCCTTGACAATTTTTGTGGAAGGGGGAAGATAAGCATAATTGCTCAGAGTTGAAAGCACAATGGGAAGAGAGGAATGTGAACAGCAAGAATAGATAATTCCAGGAATTATGCTTAGAAGGGGAAAACAGAAATGAAACAGTAGTTGGAAGGGAAACTAAGATTAAGAGGGGCGTTCTGTTTGTTTTCTGAAATGGTAGGAAATGGCATAGTCATCTCTTTTATTGTCCTATTTCTTCCATGAATCCTTTTATCTCTTCTTTGAACTCGTTTCAGAAATGCCGTATTATCATTGATTTCATGGAGAATTATAATTTTCACCTGCTCCATGGTGTAGTTTTCATGCAGTGTTCTTTATATATAGACTTTTGGTTATAATGTTGCTTTTCTTTCCCTTGCAAACATCTTTACATAAGACGTACATTGGTTCCTTTTTGATATTGGTCATCTTTGAACTGGAGACATTCTTCTTAGATAAGCTATTTGCCCAACAATAAAGTTGTGGGAAAGGGACCAGGGGAGTGGTGGGGAAAGGTAGGCAGCTTAAATTTTCCCAGTTGTCTTGGAAGACTTTCTCACCAACACTTTTCTCCAGTGGTATGACTCTACTTAGCGAGTGGGAAAAAAAGAGCCCCTTTTGTCACAGGTTCTTCTTGATTAGATTGATAAACAGTGCATGCACATTAGAATCACCTGGGGAACATTACCCATACCAGTTAAATGAGAATCTCTGGGGGGAGAAGAGAGGAGTTAACTATATACCTACAGGTTTTAAGGCTCCTCAGATGATTCTCAGGTATAGCTAGGCTTGAGAATCAATGGTTTAGCCTTTACTTTCAGCTGACCAAGATCAGCAGATGCTTGGCAACATGCAACCCAGTTTCTCCTCCATGTCGCTTGCGTCTTGCAGAAATGCCAGGTGTGGATGTTCACATTTTCCTTAATATGCCCTTCCTCCTCCCACAGCCCAGGCACACTTCCTGGCTGTGTTATACTAGGCAAGGGCTTGTTAGGTTTGTCAGCTGTACCCACTCTGTCTGATATCCGCAGTCAGGCGTCTTTTGTGCATAGCTTAGTCTGGTTCCATTTTTTTTAATGTTATTGTGAAATATAATACACATATATAAAAATGCATAAAGTGCGAATGAACATCCATGTAACTGCCATCCAGGTAAAGAAATTGAACGTTTGCCAGAATCCTAAAAGCCCTCTTGAGGCCTCTTTCTAATCATAATTCTCTTTCTCCCATCATAAAGGTAGCCAATATCCTGACTTATTTGATAATTAATTCCTTACTTTTCTCTTCATTCTTCTCATATTCAGGGTTATGGATGTTTCCTAGTTTCTTCGAATGAGGAGTTCTCTATTTCTTGTTTTCAGAAAGGAGAGAGGGATAGGAACGCCTTTATTACTCCATCTTTAACTGGAAGTAGAGGACTATTGATTTTAAGGAATTAGAACCAAATATATACTTGAATCAATTAAATGCCATATATTAATCTGATTTTTTAAAATATTTTATTTCTTTTTATTCTTATAATCATTCTATGAGATTGCCAGTTTGGGTTTTGGGGGTATGTATGTGTTTTAACAGATAAAGTCAGAGATCATATAGCTTATGCCCGGTGGCAGAGAATACATACTGACTGGCAGTTCAGTGTACAGTGCCTTAGTGCAAGCTATTTGCTTGACTTGATTTATAGCCTCATCAATAATCGTGAAATTATAAGATAGGAATTTTAAGCCTTTCTCTTACAGCAATATGGCACCAGAGTTTTCAGTATAAACTAAGAATACCAATAATGTATGTATTAACCACTTTTTAAATTTTGTTTTGTTTTGGGTATCTAAGAATTTAAATGTATGTTCAAGTTAATTAAAATCTTTTCTAGGAATATGAAGCCATCTACCTAGCGAAATTAACAATACAGATGATGTCGCCACTTCAGATAGAAAGGTCGTTATCTGTTCATTCTGGCACCACAGGTAAGAATTTTTTCATTTTGGAGAAATTTGGGAAGAAAGATGATGGTAGTGAAGAATAGAAGAGAAGCATCTTTTGCTCATTAACAAATTACACTGAACAATTTAAATTGTTTAGAAAATTTTTGGATGGACTATTGAATTAAGATAATTTCACATTTTAAATTTATAATTAAATATGTATTATATTGAGCTTCTGTGTGTACACCACTAGTTAATTAGAACGTGTTGGTTGGAAGATCAGATTTCTACTTTGTTGAGTTTTAAATCTTTAAGCAGTATAACTGTGTTGCAAAGATTAAAATAATAAGAGGGGTCTGGAGATGAGGCCCTAAATACACTTAGGTGATCTTATTAAAAATGAAAGGTGGTTAGTAAGTAAAAGCAGGGTGACTAAATGTAAGCTACCTCAGTTTTTCTCTTGCCGTAAGTATTTGAATCCTTTCTCCTTTCCCTATTGCAGTGTCCCCTCCCACATTTTAAAAGTTAATGATCCAGGTATGCTCTCAAAATCCTAACTTTTGCCATCCTCTCCAAGACCTTGCTACCCTTTTTTGTCTCCTTTCTTTTTATTAGAGCATTCGTGGAATTTTTTTAGTTTATGGTTTTTCTCTCCCAGAATTCCTTTCAGTCTTATTTGAACCTACAACCTTGTAAGTTAGGAGAAACAGGTTACATACCTGGTTAGTGTTGTACCTGGAAATTTAACACTGGCTGCTCCACAAGTCCAGTACTATATTGCACTTCTTAGTGATAATACTATATATACCTATCCTTCAGGCTCAACTCCCCAGTTGTCATTGACTCTTTGCAACTTCTATCTAATCATTTTCCAGAATGGGATGGTCTGTTTCCTCAGTACCTAGAATTCCCTCCCTCTTTTATAGTACCCTTAATTTCGGTCAAGTTCAGGTCCATATTGGCCTCCTATTCCAACTCTTGTTATTTAAGTCTGTTCTGTACATTGTGGCCAGACTTATTTTCATGAAAGATAGTTCTAATAGTGATATTCTTCCTGTATAAAAGTCTTCATTGGCATAATTTTTTTAAATATTTACTTATTTATTTATTTATTTGGTTGCCCCAGGTTGTAGTTGCAGCAGGTGGGCTCCTTAGTTGCGGCTCGCGGGCTCCTTAGTTGTGGCGTGCGAGCTCTTAGTTACGGCATGCATGTGGGATCTAGTTCCCTGACCAGGGATCGAACCCAGGCCCCCAGCATTGGGAGTGTGGAGTCTTAACCACTGGACCACCAGGGAAGTCTCCATTAGCATAATTTCTACTGAAGAAAACACATCATAGATAGTAATTAAAGGCCCTTTTGATCTTTATTTGTATCTCTCACTGTACCTCTATATATGTACTCCAGAAAATGGGACTACTAATGGTTTCCTGTGCGTGTCTTCTGTTCTCCACCTAGAAAGCATCACCTTCAGTCTCTCTATCTATAAAAACTTGGTTCAGATGTCATTGCCTCAAGAAAACATGATGATTAACTTACTGTTCCTCTAATCTCTATTCAAAACTGCCATAGACCTTTATCTGTACCTCCTCACTTTCTGCCTTGTATTAGTTACCTATGTCTCTTACCTCCCTTCGTAGAATGCAGGTGCAACACTGCATCTGAAACTGTTACAACCACTGTATTTAGACTTATGGCTAGCATATTTTCTTCTCTATTCCATCAATACTATATTTCTATCCTTAATTTTAATCTTAGAGTGAAACATTAGTTTTCTGTTGGAATCCACCGTCTGTATTAACATTATTACCATGATTTAGCACAACCTTTAGGGCATAAATTTAAGGTCATGAGATTCTTAGGCAGATAACACAGCAAACCATCTACCAGTTCAGTTGTTCCCTAAAGTTTTCCTCCATTGAGACTCAAATTTCTTGATTATAACTGTTGGGCATATGGGGATAGCTCTGATTCTGTGTGGGAAATTTCTGTACTAGCAGACTCTGATGTGAAGAGTAGATAAAAGAAAATCTCTTATCTGCTACATGCTTCCTTTCTCCCAACTCTAGACTTGTTGGTAATAAAATCATAGTTTCAGTGGAAAAAATATTTTTGGCAGCATCTGTGGAAGCAAAAGGATAATTACATCTACAAAATAAAATTGTACAAATGTACAGTGTCCTAAGTCACATGTTTATGGAGCCTAAAAAACAAACTCAGTAACCAAACAATTATGAACCGTTATACCTTTAAAAATTCTATTTTCAAACTATTTTAAAAATTAATGTTCATTATATAAAATACCTTAATATTTAATTCTTAAGAGGGAAAATGTCATGAAGATATAAAGTTCTTTGGGTTGTTTATAACTAAAGAATTTACAACAGTTTACTAAAAATTCAGTCATAGAATTTTCATAGTCATATATATGGTAACACTTCATGAAAAATGAAGCTTTTGCTAGTTGTAACATTCTAATGAATGAATTTATTTAAGTTCCCATTATATGTTATGTTCATGCAATAACTTTTAGGCAGTTTGAAGAGAACACATGAAGAAGAAGATGATTTTGGAAACATGCAAGTGGCAACTGCACAGAATGGCTGATTCAAGAGCAACAGTATAGAGGATCTGAATTTCCATTTGGGAAGGAGAAAATACTACAGACAGTAATAATGTAAAATGGTAAAGACACAAGTAGTTTCTTTTCAATTATATGTTGCTTCCAGACGTGTTTCTCTGCAACTTGTTCAGCAACATTTTAAGATGTCGGACTTCTGCAATAGATGGCACTGATGGTTTTATTCCTTTTTTTTTTTTAATTCTTTACAGTTTTATTATAAACCAAGAATTTTGGACTTGCAAAGAGGTATTATTGCAATAATGCACTTTTCATACTTGAAATTTATTTGTATGATATAAAGTTGTTACTTTAAACAAAATGCAAGTTAGGGGAGACTTGTTTATAAAATCTGGGTAATTTATAACAAAAAAATTTCCTAAAGTTTGCTAAAAATTCATTTTGTTTTACGTATTACATTTTAAAAATAATTTTACAGTTCAATTTTATGATGGAGCCTCTTACAGAAACATTAACAAATGCAGGAATCTGCCACATTTCTTTTTAATATAATTCAATAGCTTAATTATCTTCTAGTTTTTTTAAACTTCTTGATCCCATCTTAATAATCTTTAAATCATGACATTAGCCATCTGTCCTTACTTTAACATGATCCAAGTATTGCTTCTTTTCCTACTACCTTCCTAATTTTATCCTATAGAAAACAAAGTTTAATGAACAAAGGAAAATGTTTCGCTTTATAATACCAGACGCTCAAAAACAAGGAGTTTTAAACTCAAGTGACTTTCCTTTAGCATTCGTAAAAGCCAAATGTTGTGTTTGTTCTTTTGAGTTGTGTAGCCTGTTTTTTCTTTGTCCAAAATGGTTCTAAATAGAATATAATAAACCAGTGTAGCACTATTTTTTTCCTAAACAAAGCCCAAAAAAGAAAAGTGCCTTGCCTCATTAGAAAATATAAAAAATAAATCCTCACGTCCTCTAAATTAGTACGTAGAACAGTGAAAAGTTTTGAACGTTTTTCTTTCATTTTTTTTTTAAACCATAAATTAGTTCAAACTGAAAGTCTTAAGGCTTGAAGAAACCTTATTAAATTATTTGGAATATGGAGCATTTACTCCATTTTTATGTTGTCTTAATGATTCTGTGAGATTGTTCTGGCTCAGAGGAATGCTTTTCTTTGAGGATCCATTTATTGGGGAAAAGCGATTGTGGGAGACTTCAGTGTATTATACATTAGTGTTGTAATCAGTTCTTGGCATTGCGTTAATCCAAATTTCCCCCATAATTTGCATTAGCAAAGTCACTTTATGGATCCTAGGTTCTCCATGTTTTTATTTATACATATAAAAATTGTTCTAAGAAAAACATTTTTGCTATTTTAAGTATGATGTTGGGGAGGAGAGGAGTGTTTTTAACTTTTTATAGTTGGTGATTTAGGGTAGCGCAAACAAAACTCCTTTGTATCTCACTTTTCTCAGTCCTCTCTTGAGGTGCTTTACTGATGGGACTTGTAAGGTAGCAAGTTACCTACTTCGCTTTCCTCCCTAACGTGTAATAATACAGTAAAAGCTTTTTTATCCAGCATAGCAGGAGAGTGGCAGTGAATCAAAACTGCTTTGTTAATTAAGCGTTAATTCTGCTGCCCCAGGTGGTATTCCTCTTCTTATTTCCCTTCCCTTCCTTATTTTACCACCCTAAAATAACAGCATATTGTCAATCCCATTGTAGTCTTGTATTCTGTTGTGTGATTAGGTCATTGGGTGTGGTGGTCTAGTATAGTCAAGATTTGCATTGAGTGTTCAGAAATTCCAGCTGGTGAAGTGCCAGATAATACAACTTTCCTGTATATAGATCACTATTGGTTAGGTCAGCAAAGATCTCTTTTGCAAACTAATAATCTGTGATGCTTCATTCCACAAAAACGGCTTAAAAGAATCTTCGTAATAGTCCATTTAGGTTTTAAAAATGAGGCAGTTAAGATTTTCTAAATTAATTTCTTAAATACACATATCCTCTCTAGTAGTCTGGCCAAGAGTACAGGTTTGGTTATTAATTTGCAGTTGGTAATTTTCCACTTTTTCTAACCACTGTAATTTTTACGTTGGCACTAAAGTGCCTGCCCAGCACTGTATATTAAAGACTCTCACAAACACTAGAAAAAAGGACTGTCATCTTCTTGAGTACAAATTAATATGGACAAAAAGTTTATTCTTTCTGTAAGAATACTGCAAGTTTGTTTTATCTTGGTTTCATTCTTCCACCCAGTGTTCAACTAGTTCTTTTGGTAGCTCTTCCTGTTCTTTTGTTTGGTTGCATTTCTATAATTCCTCTGTTTCCACTGATGTTTTGTGATAGCTAACTACAGTACATTTAACCAATCATGATTTATTTTCTAGAATATTTGAATAATGTATGAGTGACCCAGGACCCAATTTTAAACATTAACCTGGGCACAGAATTTAAAATGATACTGCATCAAACATAGGAGAACTGCTTTATTGTCCATTTTGAAAGTATGAAACTTGAATATTGAAAATATTCAAACTGGAATGGCAGTATTCTTACCTTGTAATTTCAGTCCATTGGTTCCTGTTAATTTCTTATCAGATGTTTAAACAGCAGTTACCTTTGTTTATTTGTATCTACTTCTGTGGTGGAAGTATTAAACCATGATACCTTTTGCTACCAACTCACAACCACCTAACTTTCAGAGCAGACTATTTGTTTTGGGAGGATTTTGTGCTTCATCTGAGTATAGAAGTAATGTCAGAAAAGGTTAAGCATGACCTTTTAAAGAAAATATAAGGTTTATAATTGTCTTATTACCATGGTAATTTAAATGAATTAGAAGTATTTAACTGCAATCTTGAATTATAAAGTTGGGATGCATATATAGAGATATATATCAAAATCTCAACTTGATGTAAAGTAAATGAGCAGTTACCTGGCAGACTTCTTTTTTTCAGATAACTGTTTAATCCATAATTCCATAACAAACTTAGCTTCACCTCAATATTTATTTTGTCCATTCATCAGTGCTCCAATAAGTAAATGATAGGAAATAGCTGAAAATTACTAAAAGTTTTTTTTTTTTTATTGATTAGAAAAATAAGTTCCTAGGGTCTTTGAATGCTGGATTTTTTTTTGTCTTATCCATCCATGGCAGCTAAAAAAAAAAAACACTCAAAATATTCAGGTTTACATGCTAGCTCTCTCTCATAGGGAGTTGCCATACCTCACAGTTCAAAGTGTATTTTGTAGATCAGTAACATTATACTGACATGTAATTGCAATTTACTATGCAGCAAAAATGATTCACAAAGAAAAATAACCTACAGTGTCTATTTACCTTTGTATAGACAATTGCTTAAGTTACTCTGCTTTTAACATCTGTACTTGGATCAAATGCTTATGTATGTATAGGAATGTCACAGTGCAAGATGCTGCTAGCTCAGGCACAAAGTATTAAAATTATTTTGTGAAGATTGGTGGTTGTATTAAAACTGGTGTGCCATTATACCTCAAAAAGATTGAAAAGCTCATTTATACTGCTTATGCCTCAGAACCTCTTTACTTAGATTGTCGTCTTCTAGGTAAAAGTAACCCAATTTTAGTCCCACACAGATTAAGAAGGATGAATGAACATTGGATATTGAGAAGCACTTAAGAGTATTTTCTAAAACATTGTGGTCAGACATAAAAATTATGGTCAGTACAGGGAAGGCCCAAGTTTCAGCTCAAATATATATATTTTTTGTGGGGCGGGGGGTTACGCGGGCCTCTCACTGTTGTGGCCTCTCCCGTTGCGGAGCACAGGCTCCAGACGCGCAGGCTTAGCGCCCATAGCTCACAGGCCTAGCCACTCTGTGGCATGTGGGGTCTTCCCGGACCGGGGCACGAACCCGTGTCCCCTGCATCGGCAGGTAGACTCTCAACCACTGCGCCACCAGGGAAGCCCCAGCTCAAGTATATTTTAAACAATTAGTTGAACAAGTTTGGAGTTGAAAGTGAGGAAATTTGTGACTGAAGGAAAGGGTAAGGCCACATCCATAGAACAGCTTCCAGCTCATTAAAAATACTTTTTGCTTTTAGTTTTCCCCTTGTTAGCCTACCAACATAATATTCTTCATCAAATCTAAGACATCCTCATTAGCATCACTACACCATCTTTTTGATCCTACTAAAAGGCAAAAAAATATTGCTGAATAAACTAAGACAAGCCACTGATCATAAAATGCATCCAGATTTCCAAATGTTACATGTAAAAAGAAAAAAAAGTGCTTGAGAGTCAGTGAAATACAAATACATAAAATACATGGAGCAAAATAAAAATCACAATTGCCACTTCGTTATACCTTTTCAAAAGTAAACAATGCCCAAAAATGTATATATTGAAATGTTCTATGCAGTTTTTTTCATACTCAATTTTACCCACAAGATGGCTTAAAAAAATCAAATTTCTCTGGTTAACTAAAGCTAAATACAGATCATCAGTTTCCTCAATGACACAATTTTTATGTATTACACCTTACCTACAACTCTGTTTCCTGTAGGGGGGATTTAAGATAAGACCTTAAGAACACTATTTAAAGGGATTTATTGAAATAGCCACCTTATAGTTTTACTTCAGATTGTTCAGTGGTAAGAAATGAAATAAAGCATTTAATTTTGCCTTTTATTAGGGTATTTTTTGGTGGTGTTTTTTTCCTGGCCACGCAGCACAGCATGCGGGATCTTAGTTCCCCAAACCAGGGATCGAACCCATAGCCCCCCTGCAGTGGGAGCGCAGAATCTTAACCACTGGACCACCAGGGAAGTCCCTATTAGGTTTATTTGTTAACAGAGGTTTTAAATTACCAGATTGTACCTAGTAAAGCTGTGTTACCAAGGTTATAGGACTCCTAAAAAAGCAAAAATTAGCTTTGTTGCTTTCACTAGGGACAGATCAATTCATCTGCCTATATCATCAGCAGGTGAGTAGTACACCCTCTGTTGATGAAGAATTTCTGTTGTTTTAGAAAGCCGACTTTAGCTTTACTGCATGGAGGGAAATCTGAAATCTAGTTGAGGTAGGTGTGAATCAAAGGGATGAGAAACAGGTGATCTTTACTTTCTAAGCTCCTTTTACAAAAGGTACACAAAACTAAGATTTTATGAACCATGACTTGACCTAATAATTCAATAGACAGCTCAAGAAAAGCACAGAAAACATTCAGATTCTAACAAAAGACTATTCATGTGAACAGGTTTAATGTAACATGAAATGTAAAAGATTCGAACCAGTAGTGAAGTATCTAATTCTTATTTCAACTTAAAAAAATAATTAAAATAAATAAAATCAAAATAGGATAGTGACCAGAATAGTACCATTATAATCACATTAAATAGAAAAGCTTCCATCAACATTTTAAGAATGTAATAAATGCAGTATGATACATTTTAAAATACTCCACTCAATTTTGTAATCCATTTTCATAAAAATGTTACTCAGAAGAGAGTCTCGGACACCCCTGGAAAAATGAGAAATCAGCTTAGAAATACATAATATGCCAGGATTTACTAGTTCACTGTTTAAAAGTACCTTATATTTCTCTTAGATATTTTAAACAAATAATTATTATATTTCACATATAAGACAGGTGGTACTTCAGCTACATTAGAATTATATCAACTTTTAGATGTACATTTAAATTGTCACATTTTATAAGAAGTTAATTTTCATTTCTCCTTATTTTAAAGGCTTACCAGGTTTGCCAGTATAGTATTAGGATCAGCAAATGTTGGACTGAACTACATTTAGTTATAATATGTCTAACATCCAGTTTCACGTAATATATGTGAAATGATACACCCCTAAGTGGTATTTAGATATACTTCTTTGAAAAAAATATTAATTTTATGAATGTGATAAGAAACAGCCTTATTCCCTGTATGCTTTTTTTTTTTAATGAGCAGTACAGATAGCAGACATATAACTTCTTACTACCTATACTGACTACTAAGAAATAAAGCCGAACTTTAGAAAAATACAATGCAAGAAAAGATTCAAGTTAAAAATATACTCCTTTGGTTAAAAATCATCCCCTTAACAATTTCATCTGTAATCTAAACTCAGCATGTCTCACCAGCCCAAAGTAATCTTCTAAATGTCATTATACTTGTATTACAGTGTTTTTTTCAATCCAGTATTTATGGAGGTCACTGGGTTGCAGCAACAAAATATTTTAACTCTAGGAAGAGAGTGTAGCCTTGTTGCATCAGCTCCTTTGACAGATGTCTTTCTTAAAAGGTTTTACTTTAGAAACCTCTGACACATGTAGTTTTCTTCAGATACTGTATATCCAAACTTTTTATAGAAACCAGCGTTTTGTGGTAGACATTCAAGGGTAATCTTGTAACAGTTCAGTTTCTTGCTTAGCAAAGTAAGGGTTGATAATAACCTGAAATTAAAGGAAAAAAAGGTAGGCAAGGCATAGAGCATTTGTTAATAAAAATGGATTTTAGTAACAATGTGAGTGAATATCACATAAAACTTCAAGTTTGTATTACAAATAGGTTTATTAGATCATGGCCCTTCCCACTATATTCATTTAAAAATTCAAATTGTAAGTGGTTAAACATTTAAATCACCCAAAGCATTTGATTTTGTTTCAAATATACTTTAGTAATCTCCAGCCCATTAATAAATAGAACAAATATTATCCTAAACCCTGAACTCACCCTAAACCTTCTTTAAAAATAGGTTTTAACATTAATGTTAACACCAAAGACTAGAAACCTTTTAAAAAATATGGCCAAAATTAATCTCTTTCTCTAGATCTATTCAAACTATTTAGGAATAGCCAACATAAAATGGGTAAATAATTGCTTTGTTCTTTATCATTTTTAAAGTTATTTAAATATTTGTGAAAGAATGTATTAGGTTAACTCTGGATTGGTCTAATTAATATGAAGTGTAAACAAAGCAAAAATGTATACATCTTTATAAAAACTAGGAAAGATCTACAGAAATTTACCTGAAGGGTTTTCTCATGTTGTATAGATTAAAAAATCTTATTCTGAAGACAGAACCTCTTGATTGAAGTTACACAATTATAAAAGGCATGACTAAGTTACATGGACTAGAAGTACTAGAAATTGGTCTCTTTCATTCACTGATGTATACCAAATACCTTGAATAGTATCTGGCATATAGCAGGTGCTTAATATTTACTGAGTGAATTCCTTAAAACTCAGAAGGGATAATACTAAAAAGTAAGTTCTGTTTTATAAATAAGCAATAAACCTATGAAACTTACTTTAAAAGATTTAGATAAATGTATACAGGATTACACACTGAAGGCTGTTTCAGTACATGCTTCTAAAACTTCGTAACTGAGAACATTTCCTTTGTTTTTAAATATGACGGAGAAACGGACAAATTACTTGGCTCACCAAAAGTTTCTGTTTCCTACTACTGTAAGAGTACTACTGGGGCTTCCCTGGTGGCGCAGTGGTTGAGAGTCCGCCTGCCGATGCAGGGGACACGGGTTTGGACCCCAGTCTGGGAATCATCCTACTCCTTGCTTAATTGCAATTTATTTCAGACATCCAAATACAGTTTACTAATTTCTAGTACAGAAACCACACCAAAATTCATACTTCACAGAATAACTCCAAGTGTTTTCTATCATATTCTCATTGGATTACCTAGGTTTTGTTTTCTTTACTATTTCATGTGAGTCATGAGGAGTGAAGGAAATCTACAGGCATTAGAAGTGTCACAATTAGAACAGAATATATTATTCTGAACCCTTTACCACTGGGAAACTGATGGGAATTTGTGTTAATGTAGTATATTCAAAGTATTGTTTTTGAATAAAAATTAGCATTAGAGATTCCAAACATTACTGCCAAATTCCACAATGCTGACTTGATTTCTCTTTGTCTATACCAATTCTAACACCTTACAGAACAATTTTTAGCAAACAATTCATATTATTAACACATTTTCTTCCTCATAACTCTTAGAAGACAATGGGAAATTGACTAAGTGATTTCTAAGAAGCAAAACTTTTATTCTAGCCAATATTTAGCTCTCTCATTTTACAATAAAAAGCAATGGGAAAACAGACTTGTCTAATGGTAACTCAAAGTCGATTTTGCTAGAAAACACATATCCATTTTACCCATAAGCATTAATATGAACACATACCTTAGCACAGGAATGGATGAATTTATGTTCTATTATCAGAGTTGCTGTAGCAACTATCTGTCCTAAAGTTACATCTTCCACAACTGTAACATAATAATCCCCAGATTTCTTCATGTGCTCAAAAGATTCTGTGGAAATTGGAAAATAGTGTTATGTGGCAGACATTAAACTTTATTAGGTGCCAGAAAAATACTAGAATTAGCTTACTTCAATAAATATTATTAAATATTTATAGCTATTTTACCACAGTAATTTTAAAGAAAATATCAATTATTAAAAATGACCAAGTAGTTGAAATATCAGCAATCAATATCAACTGGAACATAGTCCATACATTTAAAAAAATCTTCTAGCAAAGTAAAGTAAGACTAATATAGCTATTTTAGATGAACAGCACTTAAAATACAAATAAATTGTACATGTTGCCATTTCTGTGATTAGTGAATGGAAACTTTTATATCTTCATTACTAGTTAACTTTAAATTGATTCCTTTAACGTTTTCACTTAACAGATATTCACACAGAACAAAACTCTTTGCAAATTTTAATAAGCAAGTTTATGTGTCTCCATTCTTTAATTTTTAGTCTTTTGATTTTAAAATAACTTGACAAAGTAGTTTTCAATTTTCCCTTTGTGCTCTCAAGTGTTCCATGATTACATGACCTGTTTTAGAAATAGAATCATCATTTTTGTTTGCTTTGAAAGCACCTTGTGAAGTAGATAAAGAAAGAAGTCTTCATTTCCCAGCTTTTCCCAAAGCCACATAGCAAACAGGAGCAAAAGTGGAATAAATATCTTCCCCTCAAATTGACTTTTAGTACTTATATTGATGAAATAACATGATTTTTCATCTAATCTGATAACGCCTGCAAAGAATAATTCAAGAATAAAAACTGAGCCTAACAGTCTCAACATGCTGTTTATTTCCACAGTCTTGTTCTAGTAATGGGTCTGGAGTGGGAAGAAATAAATTCAATGAAGGAAAAGAAACAATGAGAATCAGGAAATAATAATCTTCATCTCAGGAAGGTCATATAGAGTACAAAATAAAATTACCTATTGAAGGAAATGAAGAAAATAGGAAGACACTGTTAAGAGCATTGGATGGAGTCAGGAAGGTTGTAGTTCTTTTGTTACTAATAACTACCTGTGATCTTGGGTAAGTCATTTGACCTCTCTTTTAATTTCCATCCTCTCATATGTATTAAAAAGGGGGAGGGATGAACTAAAAGATACCTGCCAACCTTAAAATTCAATATAAATGAACCAAAAAATAAATTTAGAACATATTTTCTTACATTTTTGATTGGGTGATGAAATTTCTGTGAAATGACCTAACCACATGAAAGGTAAACACTACAATAAAAAATCTCTAAGGCTGCCACACAGGCTCTGTGCTACAGTAATTATCTAAAAGTAGCCAGGTATTTTGTAAAACATGGTAGTTGCTATATTTGGATTCTAAAACAGTTCAGCTACATTAAACATTTAAATAAGAAAATAGCTAATTTGTTATTTGAATAATTTCGAGCTATTTGAACAAAACCACAAGTAGACACTGAACAGAGCTCTAAACAAAAATAAAATCTTGTTTCCCTTTATTTCTTTTCCTTCAGGAAAAAGAGACTGTAGGACTTACTCATAAATTGTTCCGGGTTGACAACTCCAGTCTCTGTCAGCTGACCTAGTACCTTAAAAAAACCTAGTTTTGCAAAACAGATTTCAAGTGATGAGAACAGCAAATGAAATATATATCAAAAGAAGTAATGTGTCAAGATGGTGAGCAATTATTTTTTCAAAACTTTATGTAATGGACTATTTTAAAAGATTAAACTGAAACCCATTATTCTTTCTATTATCACTACATAAAACAAATAGTAATAGGTTTTACCAATGTTTTTGCCTGCATAACATTTTTGGAATAGTGCTGGCCTTAATACTCAATATTTACAGAACCAGCATGTACAGTTTTCAATGTAATTTGCATTATATTCAACACAAGGGATGCCGAATTTTCCCAAATATGTGCTTTGGTTTTACTTAAAAATGCAAGATTCTCATTATGACCAAATATGATACTATTTGTAAAATAAAATATAAATAACATTGAGACTACAGTTTTTAAAGATTCCTGATTAATCTTATTAATGTTACTTTAAATTAATGTGAATAGCATAGAATGTTGAGAATCTTAACTTCTATACACCCAATAATTAATTTGACCAAAATATAATAGTTTCTTAAGATTTCTACCAAGAAGAAAACTGTAAAAAGTTGATTTTTGATTACTGAAATTTAAGGAAATCATTTTGGAGAATTTAGATGTTAAAAAAAAGAATACATGTAGACAAGACCTTTTGCAACATCCAAGGCAAATTATCTTTATCCTCATTCCCCATCCAGCTTCTTAGAGAAGATTCTTCCTTGTGTGTCATTATACAAGATAATTTCCCCTTTTTGGCTGCTTAATTAGGAAGAAACACTGTTGTACTTAAGTCATTTGAAATACTGTAATACAGTACTGTAATACAGTAACATCTGGTCTGTACCCATTGGAATTGAGTTAGTCACTTTAAAATTTAAGCACAAAGAATAAAAGTCCAATAGTATTTTTAAAAATTATAGGCATCATCATCGTGTTTGTGGAGAACACAGAATGCTAACTATAAGTCTAACCAGAATTTGTAAACTGAGTACATACCTCTATTTAAATCAGCAGTACAAAGAGGCCTCAAAACCAAACCTTCTCCAGGATGTGTTGGGGAAATAGCTGGAGAAAATGTAGCTGTATTCTGACTCCAATCCACTTCTTTGAGTAGACTTGGGTCAAACATAGGCGTTTCATCAGGTTTCATCTTTGCAGTAAGGTCTAAAATAAAATTTTAAATGTTAAGCCATTTTGTTTAATAGAAAATTATTGATTGTCAAGAACGTCAATTTCTTTTTTTTTTTTTTTTGCGATATGCGGGCCTCTCACCCCTGTGGCCTCTCCCATTGCGGAGCACAGGCTCCGGACGCGCAGACCCAGCAGCCATGGCTCACAGGCCCAGCCGCTCCGCGGCACAAACCCGTGTCCCCTGCATCGGCAGGTGGACTCTCAACCACTGCGCCACCAGGGAAGCCCAAGAATGTCAATTTCTTAATAAAAATTAATGCAGTTAGAAAAATTCTTTAACAAGTATGCAAGATATTTTATTTTAGTCTATCCTGACTCTAACATCAAATGCCACAGCTAGAGCTCTATAGAAAACTCACATTCTATCAGGCAGAAAACAAGTGACTAAATTTAGAAGTTTTACACTTGAAAACTCCATTTTCTAATAGGACCTTTAAAGCATTTTTTCCTCTGGGTCAGTGCTACTAGTGTAGCACTGTGAATAGCTGACTTTTCAGGAGCTTGCTCTTTTTTTTTTTTACATTATTGAATTTTATTATTGGACTAAGGAGTAACTCATCAGTTTTACCTGACACTAAAGAAGACTTACTGGGCGTGTAACTTTTTAAAAAATTATTAACCATGAACAGAAAATTCTCTGCATTCACTGGAATATTTGGTCTCAGCTATGATAGATTCACACCAAGACTATCTACTGGATTTTCCTTTCTCAGCAGTCTTTCTAAAAATTTGTAAGTTTCTCAGCTGCATCTAAGCAGCTTACGAATAGCCAGTGTCACAAAAACAGAAATATAGATCAATGGAACAGGATAGAAAGCCCAGAGATAAACCCACGCATATATGGTCACCTTATCTTTGATAAAGGAGGCAAGAATATACAATGGAGAAAAGACAGCCTCTTCAATAAGTGGTGCTGGGAAAACTGGACAGCTACATGTAAAAGAATGAACTTAGAACACTCCCTAACACCATACACAAAAATAAACTCAAAATGGATTAAAGACCTAAATGTAAGGCCAGATGCTATCAAACTCTTAGACGAAAACACAGGCAGAACACTCTATGACATAAATCACAGCAAGATCCTTTTTGACCCACCTCCTAGAGAAATGGAAATAAAAACAAAAATAAACAAATGGGACCTAATGAAACTTCAAAGCTTTTGCACAGAAAAGGAAACCATAAAAAAATTGATTAAAGACCTAAATGTAAGGCCAGAAACTATCAAACTCTTAGAGGAAAACATAGGCAGAACACTCTATGACATAAATCACAGCAAGATCCTTTTTGACCCACCTCCTAGAGAAATGGAAATAAAAACAAAAATAAACAAATGGTACCTAATGAAACTTAAAACCTTTTGCACAGCAAAGGAAACCAGAAACAAGAGGAAAAGAACCCTCATAATGGGAGAAAATATTTGCAAATGAAGCAACTGACAAAGGATTAATCTCCAAAATTTACAAGCAGCTCATGCAGCTCAATATCAAAAAAACAACCCAATCCAAAAATGGGCAGAAGCCCTAAACAGACATACAGATTGCCAACAAACACATGAAAGAATGCTCAACATCATTAATCATTAGAGAAATGCAAGTCAAAACTACAATGAGATACCTCACACCGGTCAGAATGGCCATCATCAAAAAATCTAGAAACAATAAATGCTGGAGAGGGTGTGGAGAAAAGGGAACACTCTTGCACTGCTGGTGGGAATGTGAACTGATACAGCCACTATGAAGAACAGTATGGAGGTTCCATAAAAAACTAAAACTAGAACTACCATACGACCCAGCAATACCACTACTGGGCATGTACCCTGAGAAAACCATAATTCAAAAAGAGTCATGTACCACATTGTTCACTGCAGCTCTATTTACAATAGCCAGTACATGGAAGCAAACTAAGTGTCCATCAACAGATAAATGGATAAAGAAGATGTGGCACATGCGTACAATGGAATATTACTCAGCCATAAAAAGAAACGAAATTGAGTTATTTGTAGTGAGGTGGATGGACCTAGAGTGTCATACAGAGTGAAGTAAGTCAGAAAGAAAAACAAATACTGTATGCTAACACATATGTATGGAATCTAAAAAACAAAAAAAAAAGGTCATGAACCTAGGGACAAGACGGGAATAAAGATGCAGACCTACTAGAGAATGGACTTGAGGATACGGGGAGGGGGAAGGGTAAGCTGGAACAAAGTGAGAGAGTGGCATGGACATATATACACTACCAAATGTAAAATAGCTAGCTAGTGGGAAGCAGGTGCATAGCACAGGGAGATCAGCTCGGTGTTTTGTGACCACCTAGAGCGGTGGGATAGGGAGGGTGGGAGGGAGGGAGATTCAAGAGGGAAGAGATGGGGATATATGTATATGTATAACTGATTCACTTTGTTATAAAGCAGAAACTTAACACACCATTGTAAAGCAATTATACTCCAATAAAGATGTTTAAAAAAATAGTGTTTTTCATGCTATTGAAAAATGATCAATTACGGTATTTTCCTCTCTTTTGAACATTCAGAAATGGTCAGGTTCTTATTAGGTGTGGTCTAATAAAACTGAGACTTAAATAAGATACAATGATAGAAAGAATGAAAAACATATGAAGCATAAAAATGGCTGGGGGGGGGGGGGG